TTTCAAACCACTACATTCCACTCCTTGGCCCCATAGGCTTGTAGCAATATCACAATGCAAAAATACATTCTGCTCAACATAAAAAAATCCCCATAGTTTATAGCAGTCTCATATTATTTAAAAGTCTAAAGTTTAAAGTCTTTTCTGACATTAATTCAGTCTCTTAACTGTCCCCTATAAAATCAAAATCCAAAAGCAGATCACAATATAATGGCATTGGATACATGTTACTGCTACAAAACATTAGGAAGAGAGCATAGTGAGGAAATACCAGACCAAAGCAATATAAAAAACAATCTGGGCAAACTCCAAGCTCTTCATCTCCATGTCTGATATCAAAGAGCTCTTCATATATCTAATTCCTTTTAGCTTTGTTAACTGTAATGCAGTTCTTTGTCTTGGACTGGTTCCATACCCTGTCAGAAGCTTTCCTTGGAAGGTATTTCATGGCTCTGGCATATCCAACATCTTGGAGTCTCCAAGGAATTCCAGGCTTCACCTCACAGCTTCATGAAATCACCACTCTGAGCTTACAAGCAGTGGCACCCCTGACACTCTCCCAGTCTATGTGGCTTTCCTTATTCATGGAAGAAGATTCCATAACCCCTTTCTTCTATCCTTGACTCTAACGCCAGAACCACATGGCTAAAGCTGCCAAGTTCTGCTGCATTCTGGCACTGGAACATGCCCCATTGTTTAATTACATCTTAACCAAATTTCTGTTTTCCAAAGTTTCCTTCACTACTTAAGTTTGGCTGTCCTGAAATTTGATCTATAGACCAGCCTGGCCTTAAACTTAGAGATTTGCTTGCCTCTGTCTCCAGAGTACTGGAATTAAAGGTGTGTACTACCACACCCAGCTCTAAGATTTTCTTTAATTCCTTTCCATAAATTGGAAACTTAGGTTGGTTGGATCTTGTCCTGAGGTCACCCCTCTCTTTATTTCATTTCTTAATTTATCTCCTTGAACACAGGACTTACCGCCATTTGACTTCCTCATGTCCCTTTTCTCTTCAAATTTTACATTTTGTACTTTTTTCCTGTTCAGCTTGCTTCTCTTCATTATATATCTTCATTAGATTTAACACTTACAACCACACAAGAGAGTCTGCTAGCTGTTTTGAGATTTCCTTAGTGAAGGCAATTAGTTCAAAACTCTTTACTTTAGCTTCAAGGCAGACTTTTTGGACAAGGGCAAAGAGAGACCACATTCTTCACCAAAGTGTCACAAGAAGGATCACTAGGCAACATATTAAAATTCTTCTCCTTTGTAACCTCTTGAACCAGGCTCCCACAGTTCAAATAACACCCCTGTCTTCCATGGTCCTATTAGTGTGGCCCATTAAAGAGCACTTAAAGCAATCTACTGCTTTCCTAATCCAGAGTACCGAAGTACAAATTCCTACAAACCAAAGCATTGTCAGGCCTTTCACAAAAATGTCTCAGTCCCTGGTACCAACTTCTGTCTTGGTTAGGGTTTCTGTTGCTGTGAAGAGACAGACACCATGGTCATGATAATTCTTATAAAGAAAAACATTTAAGTTGGGTGGCTTAGAGTTTCAGAGGTTTAGTTCATTATCATCATGGCAGGACATGGCATCATGCAGACAGACGTGATTGATACTAGAGTAGGAGATGAGAATTCTACATTTTGGTCTATAGACAATAGGAAGTGTACTGTGTCAGTGTGCATAGCTTGAGCATAGGAGATCTCAAAGCCCACTACCACAGTGACACACTTCCTCCAACATGGCCATAACCACTCCAACAAAACCACACCTTTTAATATTTCCACTCCCCATGGGGACTGTTATCTTTCAAACTACCACACTGAGTCACTCTTGAAATTTTAAATTCAACACACATACACACACACACACACACACACACACACACACACACACACACACAATGTAGCCTTGGGTGTCCTGAAACTTACTGAATAGACCAGGCTAGCCTCAAACTTATAGAGATCTGTTTGCTTCTGTCTCCTGAGTACTGGATACACTACCATGCACAGCTTAATATAAACTATTTTAATGAATTAATGTGTATTAATTTTTACATATGCAGTCTATAAATGTATTTGATGTGTTGTAAAATCTGTGCTTGGGGTCAGGTCAAATTTTGTCTTGACTCATTAATAAATGCTGAATAAAATAGGACTAAAAGCAAATGATCTTACTTTTAGGGAACAAATGCCTCTTTAAAGGGGAATTCTGTTCTTAATTCAGGCAATGATTGCTTAATTTATTATCTTCATAGATTATTTCAGAATCATTGGACTGATAAACACTGAGTTCTTTTTTAAATTAATTTTATTTAAATTTAAAATAATCTTATTTTACATACTAATCACAGTCCTCTCTACCTCCTGTTCTCCCATTCCCTCTACCATCTCCCCATTCCACCCCTATTCACTTCTCAGAGAGGGTGAGGCCTCCTATGGGGTACCATCAAAGTCTGTCACATCATTTGGGGCAGGACCAGGGCCCGCCCTCCCCCTATATCTAGGCTGAGAGAGTATCCTTCTATAGGGAATGGGCTCCAAAAGCCTGTTCATGCACTAGGGATAAATTCTGGTTCCACTGCCAGAAGGTCCATAGACAACTCAGGTCTCCTGTCACCCATGTTCAGAGGGCTTGGTTCAGTCCTATGCTGGTTCCCCAGCTTTATGACTGAAGTTTGTGTGTTCTCACTTGTTCAGGTCAGCTGTTTCTGTGTGTTTCTCCAGCATGGTCTTGACCCCTTTCCTAATGATTCCTCCCTCTCTACAACTGGATTATAGGAGTTTGACTCAAAACACTGGGTTCTTAATAGTCCATTCTTGAAACTTGTCTCTTCCTGTGTTGACCTCCAGCTAGGCTGGCAATTTGCCAAATGTGCTATGAGGAATACATAATAAAACATCTCCCTATTCATCTGGATGTTTCAAAGCTCTTTACAGTACATCACTGAGCAGATTATATGGGTCTTAGTCAATCATTTGGCACCTTTATTGGTACCCTTTGAATACTCTGTAAATTAAATATTAGTAGCAAAGTTTTGAAATCTGGTGGTGAAACTATGGAAAGGCTGAACAGAGTTTTGCTATTTATTGGTAGGGAAAGGGATACTGTAGAAAGTCAATTTGAATAGAAGAAAAAAGTGAATTGGCAAAATGATCTCCTCAGCTCTATATCAATGAAGATGACTCTTGTGCTTTCCATTGCTTATTCCAGGATGTGAGAGTCATTCTTGTCACCTCCTCCACTCTTGTTGCCTACAGCCATTCTACCCCAAGCCTTGTAGATTCCACCTCTATTGCATCTTTGTCTTACCCTTCATGCTAATCATACTACCATCATTTCTTATCTAGATGACTATTCTGTTAGATTTGCTACCATCACCTCTGTATCCATTATATTGTCAAAAGAAACTTCTTAACAACCAGATTTTATAATCTTCCCATTCTTTTCTTTTAGATCTTTTTGGCATTCTACTGTTCTTAGACCAAATTCTTAGTGGTATCTACATGTCCTTTTGGCTTAGCTCAGGTGCATCTTAGGCTACTCATTCCTTTTCTGTCTGTTCTTCATGTACTCAGGCTACTTTTCAGTTTCTTAGAAGACATATGTTCCTTTGTGCTTCTGGACCATTCTTTGAACATTACCCTTTTGTGTGGAATATATTTCCTTTCTGCTTATTTTGTAATCACTTCTTTATTTTTTCATTTATTGTTTGCTCATAAAATACACCCATACTGATATCTCCAGTTCTTTCACTCCTCCCAGTTTTGCTTTTTTATCTAGTTGATTTTATTGATCCTTATAGGTGCTTCTCAAATATTGTATTCTCACACCACTGTGTGCTTCTTTGGAGTGCTCATCATCAGTGTAGCCATGTGTTTCATTGGATAAATGTTTAAGGGTACTCCTAAATTCTGACCATTGAATCTACAAAGACAAGATCTTCTGTCATGTTCACTGCAATGAACCCAGCTGAGAACAAAGCCTGGTATGAATGAATGAGGTATAGGTATTATTCTACCATTTACCATTCTGATAATCCTCATTAATATAGTAGACCATTCTAAGGATTCAATAAAAACATGGCCCAAAAGATTAGCACATAAAGGACTGTAAGCACATATTAATCATTCAGAGCAGAGAATCAGAATTCTTGGAGCTAATCTCTGAAGACTCTTTTTCTACCAGGTCAAATGTTTCAAAATAAATCCTTCTAATAGAATGCAGTCTACTTTTGGCAAGCCAATATAACTTGACAGACAAGATTAGAATGGCATCAACGGGCCTGCAAACTCTGAGCCCCTGCTATGGGTTGGGTGCAAATATTATAGTAGTGACCAATGGAGGCTTTGTTTCTGTTCCCTTGAAACTTATAGTCAGCTTCCTTCAATAATCTAGTTTTCAGGTTATCAAACAGATATCTTATTCTGTGCCTATTTTTGGACAGCACCTGCTGTGGCTTTCAGTGTCTGTAGAAGAAGTCTGAGCTTTATTTGTTCAGTTAAAGATACTTCTTTTCTAGACAAGTTTGCACTGTGAATTTTAAATCACTACCAACAATACCCATTTTAAATTTAGTATTTATTTTGTGTTCCAAACCCTATTTTCTCTTGCAATGTACTTGAAGTCACATTCTTTCTCATAACATGAATGTAGGTAGGATATTTGTCCTTATGCCCAGAGCAGTAGTTATTTACAAAGCATTGAAAAGAAAGCAATTAGGTAAGTGGGGAATGTTATCATGTTATTAAAAATGATTTGATTTGTGTTTATTCACTACAACGCACATAAAATCAAAGCTTTGGTACTGGAAAAATCTGTTTGCATTTTTGCATGATTTTAGCTCATTTACAACACCTACCTATTGAAAAACACAAGACAAACATATAACTTCTTAGAACTAGAACCCCTTCTCTGTAGTTTCCAAGAATGAATCATTGTATGGTGTTGCACATATGAATACTTTGATTAAGAAATGCACATAAACTTAAGGTGCTATGCAGATCAATTGATGCGATTGTGATGCCCCTGAGCTCTGTGACCTGCCTGGACTCCATCTCAGACAACTGCCCTCAGATCCTGAAACAATGAAATGGAAAGACTTGAAAATTTGTTTTCTCAGAGCCTTCATTTAGTAGCTGATGGAAGCAGAAGCAGAGACCCACAGGTAAGCCCTGAGCTGAATTCCTGGAATCCAGTTGTAGAGAGGGAGGAGTGATGAGCAAAGGGGTCAAGACCAGGCTAGAGAAACCCACAGAAACAGCTGACCTGAACAAGGGGGTGCTAATGGACCCCAGACTGACAGCTTGGAAACCAACATAGGACAGAACCAGGTCCCCTGAATGTGGATGTCAGTTAGGAGACCTGGGCAGTCTATGGGGCCTCTGGTAGTGGAATAGTATTTATCCCTAGTGTACAAATGGACATTGGGACCCCTTCCTCATGGAGGGATATGCTCTCAGCCTAGACACATGGGGGAGGGCCTAGGCCCTGACACAAATTATGCGACAGACTTTGATGATCCCCCATGGAAGGCCTCACCTTTCTATGGAGCAGAAGAGGGATGGGATGGGAGTCAGTGGGGTGTATGAGAGGATGGGAGGGAGAGGGGACTGGGATTGATATATAAAATAATATTGTTTCTAATTTAAATTAAAAATATATAAAATAAAAAATAATAAAAACCTTTTAATAAAAAAGAAAATTTGTTTTCTCATAGTCATGTGGACAAGTATTTTAAGGTGGGGAAAGGAAGGAAGTTGTCAGTACCCTATTTATTTATTTTGGAAAAAGTTAATGGAGTGAATATGTGCAGTTGGGTTTGAGACTGTGGGTTTTGAGGGAAAAAAGGCATTATTAGGAGAATGAGCCCCATTCTTCCTCATTTCAGAAATGCAGGGACTTCTCCTATGAAAGAGCCTGTGCCATAGCTTCGCATTTAATGAAGTGAGCAGATTGCAAGAAGAATATGATGCTGCTCAGTAAATTGAATGACTTTATGAAGATAAATGTTTCCCTTCCGAGGCTCCTTCTTGTCAGAATGCATTTAATACCGCCATTCCTTTGAGAACTAAATTCCTGTAGCACTTTGCAGCATATTAACATGTTTTTCTCACCACATGAAATTGCACTTCAAGCAAGAAATAATAATGTTTCTGCCTCCCCTTGTACATTTTTATTACTGCCAATGAATAGGAGTAAATTAACGATTATGGCTAACATTATTCATGGGGACAAATTCCTAACTCATTTTACTGAGAATAATAAATAACTGAATGAATAAGATACCTTTAATTTCACATGTGAGTTATCCAAGATTTCTCAGAGTAACAGTAGAGAGGCCGTCATGTTTATATACAACACACAAATCTGTATCCATTGCTTAGCATCACAAGCTACATCATGTAACAGTGATAATGCTTCTTTGATTCTATGGCATCAAATTTCTACTCATTAATTACCTCCAGCTATACAAAACATACCCTAATTATATACTGCAAGAGCTATATTTAGCCTTTACAAATTCTAGGTACAATTTTCGTCTAGGTATTTATCCCTTCATTCCACAAGCAACCAGAAGACTGGGCAAATCTTGTTTCTGTTAATGAAATTACAAAGCAAATTCCATTCTAATGGAAACTGCCAGTTCTGGCCAATGGCCCTTTCATTTGGAAAAGCCTTCAAAACACCCACATTCCAGCACAGTGACATAATTTGAATGCTGTCTTCCCTATTCTAATGGAATTGTTGGCTGTGCCATAAATTGTCAAGGACTTGAAAGGTACAAGCAGCTAGGGTAATAGGGAACAGAGGAGAATACATACCCTTTTGGGATATTCTACATAATGACCTTCCCAGATCTCCATGCTTGTACTGCCACATCTGTGCCCTCCCTGCCAGACATCTATTGAGCAGGATCTGTGCTGAGGTGTAAGAGAGAAAGCTGAGGGGTTTATGGCCTCACTGACAGGGCATATGTTGCCTGATATTCTTGGTTGGCTGCCTAAATAGGGATAGAAGCTGGACCTCTATGGGGTGGGTTTGGCTGTGAGGGAAGGTGAAAGTCAACTTGGGGTAACAAGGAAGAACAAGGCAAGAAAGCTTTCCAGGCAGGCACACAATGCAAATAAGTGTGTGGGAATAGTGTGATGGGAGTATTAGGGAAGGGGAGGCTATCATATTTGACTATAGCTGAAGAATCCTGGGATGGGAGTGGGCATGAAAACAGTCTTCCAGAATGCTGCATCAAAGAGCAGAGGACGCTCTAGTTCCTCTGAACACTGAGAAACTAATGGAACATTTGTTGAGATAAATGATGTAATAACATCCATGGATTTTTTGAGACAGACTCTTTCTTATCCCAGGTCAGCTTTAAACTTACTGCATAGATGAGGATGACCTTGAATTTTGAGCCTGCTGCCTAAAACTGGGATTACAGGCTAAACCACCAATGTTCTTCCCCTGTTCTGTTTTCCCCTCTTTTCTCTTTTCTTTCTTTCCATTTCAGGAATTGAAATCAGTAACTTCCACTGAGACTAAGCCAAACCACCAACCAAATTTATGTGTTCCTTTTTCTAATTCTTTTCTCCTTTTCCTTTCTCTTTAAAATATATTTCAGTACTGAGACTGACCCTATGGTTCTGTGCACGTTAGTAAGTACTATAACACTGAGTTATATTGTCAGTCCCTTTTCAAGGTTTTAGTTAGAGATGAGCTCATTAAATAGCCAGAATTTACCTGGAGTCCACTGTAGTCTAAGCAGGTTTCTCTAAGTATTATATAGGTAAATTTTTTATAAATATTAACATTGACTCAGAGTGCAGATTTTAAAATATATTGTATATTTTGTTAAGTTACCTTTTAGAAAGCATTTGCTTGTTGATCCTTTAATATTAAAGTATAGGTATTCATTTCTACCTCCTTGTCAATTGTATGTATTTTAATGTTTAATTTTTTGCTAACTGGATGGCTAAATAATGCTGCCTATTTTTCTTTATATTTCTTTAATTACCAGCTGTATTGGCATTTGAGTATTTATTGAACCTAGATGATATATATGCTGTAATTGTTTGTGTCTTTTGTCTCTTATGCTGAGCTTTCATTAGTTTTTAAGAGAAGTTTAGATATAAAGTGTATTCTCTTGTCATATTGGTTGGAATACATATTTACTTTCTCATGGGCTTCATTTTATTCTGTAAAGTAGAGATGATTCTATTCACTTTGTAGGGGGCGCTCTATGCTTTTCCCTGCCATAAGTAATGTCTGATATGTGGTTGATGCTGATAGAGGATAACTATGAACATATTTGCCCACAACCAGACTCACAATTCAATTCACTCTTTATCAATATGATTTTTTTCAACATTTGGCACTCCTCTCTTTTTTTGGCATATGTTCTATTTGTTGGGAATTACTGAAATATTTTTTTAATTTTATTAAATTATTTTTTACATTCCAATCCCTGTTCCCTCTCCTTCCTCTCCTCTTGCTCTCCCCACTTGCCCCTCCTCTCATCTGGTCAAAGGAGATGGTAAGGCCTCCCCTAGGAAATCTACTGTCTGTTCCATCATCTCGTTCAGGCAGGACCAACGTCACCTTTCCACCCCCACATCCCTGTGTCTAGGCTGGGCAAGGTATCTCTCCATATAGGATGGGTGCTTCTAAGTCAGTTTGTGCATTAGAGGTAGATCTTGGACCCTTTGCCAGTGGCCTCATATATTGTCCCAGTCACACCATTGTTACTTATAGTAAGGAGGTCTAATTCAGTCTTACTCCTTACCCTCTCCAAAGAGCAGACGGGAGGTGGGGGCAGGGAAGTTACAGGAGAGAGAGGAGAGGATGGAGGGGGAACTGGGATTGGAATGTAAAAAATAAATTAATAAAAATGTTAAAATAAAATTGAAATTAAAAATTACTTTATGTGTATGAGTGTTTGCCTGCATGTGTGTATAACATAATATGTGTGCAGTGCCTGCAGAAGCATGTGAACAAACATGTGGGTGCTGGGAATTGAACCTCTGTCCTCTGCAAGAACAGTAAGTTCTTCATCTCAGAACTGTCTCTAGATCTGATATATTTTCCTTCGTATTCTATTTTCACCTAATATTCCAGCTAGTAGGAGTCAGCCCTGGCTTAAGATATTGCAACAGTCTGAATGTTGCCTTTCATGATAATTTGTCATAAACAGCTCTTTAGGAAGGCTTCCTCCATTTATGTCATTTGGGGTGTCTAATGTGAATATTTGTTAAGGATAGACATCATACTTGATTCCTCTCTAGAGCTCTGTAGCCTGGCATGGGGCCTGATCAAGTGGATGAGTACAGCCTTGGAGATTTTAAGAGAAAAACAAGAGGCATCACATGGTGTATTTCCACGATTATGTGAGTAGTTTTTGTCGGTGCAATTTTCTTTTGCTAAGTGTAGTCTTAGACTCTAAAAAGTCCACGGCTAAATGTCACTTGAATCAGCTGGATTGACCTGCCAGAAAAAGACTAGTTGGTTTCCCTTATTTTCAGAGAAAACTCCTGGGGATTGCTGCTTGGTGTACTTGGTAATTTCCTCAGGAGATCAATAGCTCATCACTTTGTTGTGTCCAGCAGTGTCAGGTACTTTAAAACAGCTCCCAGCTTCCAATACTGTTATCACATCTATGTTTTCATGTCACTTATACATACATATCCATGTCTGTGTCTATATGTCCCTATATGTGTGATATTATTACAGTTCTTCCCCTTAAAATTAAAGGCAGTCATACCCTTTCACCCTTGTATTTGCTTTCTTAACTTCTCAAATTAATAACAGATGATGCTTTTAAAACTTTGAGAAATAAGAATTGCTTTTTGAATAACTATATCTACAAAATATACCTAAGAAATTTTGATTTGATAGACACTGTCAACTTTCCCAGACATGCATTTTTCTAATATCTCATGTTGGATATCCTGTAATTGTATTTGTTGACCCTCCTTTATTTGACTGTTTTTTTTTATCACATAGCTACCTCAATATCTCTGTGCAGGGCTGGATGAGACACAGCTCTTACAACTTGAACTATACTACAAAAGAAACAGTTTTGTATGTGGGAGGAGGTCCCATGGACCATCTCCAAACTGTGCTTCTAGGGAATGCTTTAGTAAAGAATTCCTGCAGACCACCTGGCTT